CTTGGTCACATTTTAAGGCACTTTAAATCTAACTGGCTCACGTGAGTACTAAGATACTTGCATAAGCCAAAAATGGATAGGCAGCTTGAGGTACAAATATTTAATTTGGTCAACTGGCATAATTTAGAGGGCACAGTTACAGCAATTGTACGTGATGTTGCAGCTGAATGGTTGAATTCCTCAAAAAAAAAAATGTTCCTAAGGAAAAAAGTGTTCTTGATATAATGAAAAAGTCGAGTTGTTGCATGTGGCTTTCTAAGTAAGGTCATCATCCATGTTCAGAAGAATATGAAGCTCTAAGCAGGAGACTTGGGCTACATTTTTTCATGCAACTCTTTTAATAAATGCTCCTACTTTTTTAGTGCTTGGAATTAAATTCTTGTTTCTAATGCTCTTTAAGGCAGAGTACCTGTCCTGCCTCCTGCTATGGGATTTGGCTGCTCTGTGGCAATTTTGGTATTTGGTTTGAAAACTTATTCCACCCAAACCTCCACAGGAGGAAGCACGTGATGTTCAGTAGCTACTCTTGGCAAGGGAGCTGATTGTATCCCTGCCTGAGCAGGTGCTAATCCACAAGCAGAAATGAGAAGGAAATTGAATTTCAAAAGATCGTGAAGCACCTCCTAAAAGAATCTGAGGGGAAAACACAAATTACCAGATAACAGAGAAGAACGATAGCACTGGAGGATGCTCATCCACATGCAATAGTCCATGTTTTCTTAGATGACTATAATACTCAGTTGGTCTCTGCACATCATGGGGAGAAAAAATCAGGCACTTTTAATTTCAAAAAATAAATGTTTTTGGATAGAAACCTTTGGAGGTCATAAATCAAACACAGAGTTTTCCTTTCCCAATAGTCGAAGTTGTTGCTAGCTTAGTAGTCATTACTATTTTGTGCAGAGCTAATGGGAGCTATTAGTACTAGCTGTTGCTAGCTGTTGCTAGCTTAGTAGCTAGTTACTATTTTGTGCAGAGCTAATGGGAGTATACGACTGTTAGAGCAGGGGTGGCAGATGGGGATTTTTACGGCTGATTGCAGGGAAGGACAATATCCCTTCCTGATTTCCATTGGGGTGGGAGGTTTAGTGACCTCCCTGTGGGCCAAGCCCTGAGTTTCCAGCAGCCTCACAGCGGGACGTTGCAGAGGACCCCACAGACGCGTTTCAGCTGCTCCTACACGATGCAGTTGAAAACCCCGGACCCTTCAGCTCTCCCTGTCCCTACAACAACCTTTCCCTCGTGCTGTGTTACAGGTCAGAGTTGCTGTGGGGCACCCTGGTCGCAGGGCCCGTCGTGTCTCGTGTGCCTATGGCAGTGTTTGGGGTGGGTGAGGATCAGCAGCCTCGCTGCAGCCCGGCATCTCCCGTGTCCCTTGGCTCCTTGCCACGTGTAGCCTGCTGGGGACAGTCCTTTCCAAAGGCTCTGGGCCTGCTGATAATGTGACACATGCCCTGCACAGGGTGGAGAGCCCGCTCGGTGACGGTGACACTGAGGGGTTCCCTGTTGAGCCGCGGGCTGAGCAGCAGCCGCTCACAGGCTAAACCAAGCAGGGGGAAACACGCCTGGGGCTGCACATACGCAGTGGGGCTGCGTGAGGGACCAGGTTGTGCTAATGAGCAAGGGGAAACACTGGGACATCTCTCTCTTTGGTGTCTGGTGGCTTTGGACTGCTGCACCCGATGCCATGTGGCTCACATTGGCCAGTGGACAGAGGAACTGGCCACGCTGGGGCCTTGGATCCCTGCTGGGAGATCCCTGTTGGGAGATCCCTGCTAGCCACTCGGAGCTGCCTGGGAGCTGCCGGACTGATGGAGCAATCAGCAGCACGTGAGCCCAGCCTCTCATCCATCATTATTACAGGAAGGGATTTGTTTATGTGAAGAAGGTTTTGTCCCGGTTCCAAAGCAAACACCTATTGTGCAGTAAGTAAAGTTTAGCGCCTCTTTCGCACCCTCTTTGGGCAAGGCCTCCCGTGTACTTTCTGGTTTGCTGGGGCTGGGGGATTAGTTCTGCTGGCACCGTCGCAGTGGTGGGTGAGCAGTTGCATGCTCGGGCTGTGCGTGCTCGGAGCTCGCGCGATCCTGCAGCGCCTGAGCCCGTGCAATTCCAAAGGGAACCGGGGAAGCTTCGTGGCTTTCTCATCTCTCTGAAAGCAGCTTTTCCTTCAGGTCTGGAGTCTTGTGTGTCAGCTGTAGCACCAGGTTCAGGAGGAAGGAGCAAAGGGACCTTTTCCAAAGAAAGACACAGCAATTCCTTAGTGTGGCAACTTTAGTAGCTTGTAAACTTCATACTGTGACTCGCAGGTGGGACCAGGACTAGGGCACTGCAAGTCACAGTCATAAAACCTGAGTCATGACAACAGTGACAAAAACAATTAAATCTGTCCTTTGCAGGGACCAGCACCTCCTTGTGCTGGAGAGCTTAGGCTGGGACTTGTACACTGCAGGAACTGGTGGTCTCAATTTCCCGAGAAGGCTTCAGCTTGCTGGGCAGGGTTTTGTGTCTGTTAATAACTGTGCTTTATTGCAAGGGTTGGTTGCTGGATGCTGCTGCATCCGGTGCCTTGGCCACCCGGCACCGCTGCTCGGGTGCTGCGAGTCCATATGGAGAGGTGACCTTGGGACATCCTGCTGTGTGTCCTAGCCGCTTTCCATGGGATCATTGAGGACTCTGTCCGCACCAGTGTATCTTTCTTTGCTATTCATCTGCTGAGGGCTCGGAACAGCTTGTTTGCGCTGTCCTCGCTAGCTGGCACGGTGGCAGTCACTGCCCAGCCCTACTTTGGCATCTGCTTCATGTTGCTCCAGAGCAAACAGTGAAACCCTGAGACTCGGGTCCATGTTTGAGAAGACGAGGTTCAGGTTTAACCTGTCACCCTTCGCTATTTGCTTCGGGCAGCCTGTGGGTAACTGGGGACAAGCTCTGCAGTTGCAGGGCTTCTCCTGGGACCCTTGTGCAGATGGAGGGTTGCCCTGGGAGTTCACTCTTGCTTCCTGGCCCGTGCTGGAGCTTCTGCAGAAGCTGCGTTGCTGGCGATGGAGCCCATGCTGCTGGTAGCAGAAGGGGAGAACGGGACGTTCACAAGCGCTTCATTACTGGGGAGTGATTAGTGCATTCCACCACAGCCCGAGGGAGCTGGGGCTGCAGCTGGCCAAGCCCGGGTGTGATTTTCAGCTCCAAGGGGTGGCCGCTGCACCCTGCCCAGGCCGGGTGGAGGCTCTCGCCCCGTTATTTCCCCACGTTTTGATCATGTGGCTGTTTCATGGCATTGCACAAGCAAGGGTAGCATCACTCTGCAAAGTGAGTCCTGCAGCTGGAGGCCTGGCTGCCGTGCAAGAAAACTGCATTTTGTTTATGCGAAAGGCACAAACACAAATGCCTCTTCGGCTTTTTTCTTTTCTTTTCTTCCCTTCCTGTGGAACCAAAGGGGCTATTCAGGAAAACACTGGCACCTCCCGCAGGTGCTGTGAAGGAATGGGGTTCCCTCGGCACATGGCAGGGAAGCGGGGACAGGTCTGCCAGAGCGCGGGGACATGGCCGGGTGTTTGGGGACGTGGCTGGGTGCTTGGGGACACGGCTGGCGCTCGGCTCCTCCCTGCCGGAGGCTGCTGCAGCACGGTTAAGCCTAAAGCCAGAGCACCCCCCGGCAAATAAATAAATCTTTTTACTACTGTAGCTTATTCCTTCTGGGGAGATGGTTGAAGATTTATTAGCCAAAGAGCAATGCTGTAGCTCTACCAGCAAACCGCATTAGAAGCAGTTCCTGCTATTGCCAGCTTCGGGCATTAAAATCGTTAGTCAGGTCCCTGAGCTGGGCACATAAACCTTCAGGTTTTTTTCGCCTTGTCATAAATCATCTTGGCTTGTTTTGTTTGCTTTCCTATTTCGGAGCCTTTGAAATATGAGGTTTTCAAGTGCTTTTCGGCGGCTCCAAGGGCTAGAAATGACGTGTTTAATTGTTGGGAGTGAAAGCAGATGTGTGCGTAACTGATACGCCTTCATGGGCTGGGATGTGAAGTGAGACATCACACCCTAGAGCCTGCGAAAATTACAGAGACAGCAGCAGCGCTGCCCTTCATGGCACCAGCCCGTCGGTGAGGTTGGCCTGAGTGAGGAAAGGAGTCAATAGCATCCAATAATCAATTAAATCTCCTGGTGCTCCCCGACTGGCTCCGCTTGCTCTCAGCGAGCCTCGTCCCAAGGCTCCGCTCTAGGACGTGAGCTCCAGTTGTGTTTCCATCCTTATTTTGTCTCTGGGTTTGTCTGAGCAGCCTCAGTGCATGGACAGGCCTGGGCTTCCCTGCGCTTTCTGCTTGGCGCCGGCTCCGCGTCCGAGCCCTGCCAAAAGCCAGGGCTTTGAAGGGATATTAGTGTGGAATCAGAAAGCATTGCACTGATAGGGATGGTTTGCCCTTTTTCTCATCCAATGGAAAACTAACCAACTGTCATGTTCCCATAGTAACACTGCTAGAAATGGAAGAAAAGCAGACAAAATATTTCTTGTTAGTAGGTGCCATGTACTTCTGCAGATGAGAAGTACGGGGAGGTTTTGCATCCTTATAAACCAGTGGCATTTTCATTCTCCCTCAATTAAATATGACATCTGGTATCTCTTACACTGATATCAATCCTCAGCAAGGAGAAATTCCTTTACCAAGTGTAAAACCTAGTGCAAAGCATTGAAGGATCAAAAAATAGCCATCAGACCAGGCAATACATTATTAAAGAGAATTATTTAATTGAAGTATGGAACATGGTTACAACCCATCTTGTTGGTGCAACAAAAATTCCAACAGCAGGACTGGAAGATAAATTCACTAGTACAATTAAATATGAGAAAGTGATGTTTTAGTAAAGAAAGAGAAAAGGTTTTTTGTTTGTTTGTTTGTTTGTTTTTAGCATTGTACGCAGTAAGAAAACATAAAACTTGATTTAAAAGCCTGTAGAATAACTTTGCTGCAGATTTTCTCCAGGCACAAAGAACTGGACAGCAGCCTTCAGCCAAGCACGATCTGCCCTCCGGTCCTAGGCTGTAGCTTGAGGTTGCACGGGATCAAAACATAGTCCTAAGCAAAGGCAGAAACAGGGGTTGGAGGGTGTGCATTGCGGTTTGTGTTAGCCCATGGGGTCTTCTCCCCTTTTATCACTTGTGTTTTGTTCCTGCTCATGGGGTTGGTGGGGCTGTGGGACACCCACTGCTTGCTCCAAGGTGGCAGGAAACGCGTTAAGCGCCCGTTTTCCTACCTTGTGAATGATGACGTCGACGTCGGTGTAGATGAAATTGGACGCATGGGGCAAGTAAATTCCTTCACGCAGGACCTCTAGGGGAAGAGAGAGAAAACAGCCCGTCCCGTGGACG